TTTCGCTTTTCAGAACATCAGCCGCCAAGGCAGTTTTCGCAAAGGCCACGCGAAGAAAGAAAGCATCTCAGATCTGGCGCAGCAGGAGCTAAAATCGCTCTTCAACAAAACGAAGAAATCCATCAGTTCGGCTGCTCAAAGAGGCCGCGAGCGCTTCAGGAAATACGAGCAACAGTTGGCGAAGCGTAGCCAATCGGCGCCGCAGAAGTTCGTCGAAGAGTTGCAGGAGAGTTTGGAGAAAGTCCAGCACAACGACGCGAGTTTGAGGAGGAAATACTCCGATTCGGATTTCACTGTTGCATCTAAAGCGGCCTTTGAACTAAGTCCGCAGATGCAGCTGCAGCTGCTGCGCCAAAGAAAACCCCCGCTGGCTTCGGCCAAAATCATCGAGGTTCTAGACGCGAAAACTTGCAGCGTGGTGCAGCGGAAATGCATCGCAGCCTCTGGAAAAACCAAGCAAGTCGTTCTGAGCAGCTTCAGAACCTTGTCCATAAGGGAACTGTTCCGGAACTACCAAATCCACAAAAGACAGTTCCATCGGGAGTACAATCAAATCAAACGCACATTCCGTCGATGCTGTTGTGAACTGTTTTTGATCATGGTGTTTTGCGGCTTGGGAGGCCTCATGTTCAAATTCACTGAGGGCACGTTCGAAACGTACTACAAGTGCGGAGTTAAGAGAGTGAAGCGAGACTTTATCGACTTGTTGTGGCTGAAGAGCCACAACTTGAGGGAGGACGACTGGAAGTCCTTGGCCAGGAGCAGGCTGAGGAAGTTTGAGGAGGAGCTGCATAGCGCGCATGAGGCGGGCATGACCGATTACAGTGGCATGCGATCTTGGAGTTTTTTGAATGGGATTGTTTATTGTTTGACGATTTTAACTACCATCGGTGAGTTTTGAGGGTCGTCGCATATCGGAAAAGTCAGCAAGTGTCCAATGGACAGTGTTTTTCTTCAGCAGTTGGAGCAAATTGCTGCGTATGCACGTGACGTAATTTTGGAGGCACTGGGTGGAAAAACTTGATACTTTTGCAGGAATTTTGATGGAATTTGCCACAGTTTTTCAGTGGAGGAGGGAACAGTGGAACTCTCTGATGTACCTGCGGATTTTGTGTTGAATATTTTGCACAATTCCTTCACAAATTTCGTGACTTTCACACAAGTCGAGTGAAATCGCCAAAAGTCTTATAAAATCAGTGTTGTAAGAAAATCGCTTCTTTGCAGGCTATGGACACATGTTTCCCAAAACTCACACAGGAAGAGCCCTCACCATCGTCTACGCCCTGATAGGAATTCCACTTTTCCTGATTGCCCTCACTGATTTCGGGAAATTATTCACCAGAGGCATCAAGTTCGTGTGGTCGTTTGTCCGCCGCCTGTACTACACTGGGAGTTGCCGAAAAGTGCGGAAAAATGCCAATATGGACGTAAGTACAATATTTCTTAATTAGCCTTCACTTTTTCATTAAATTCTGTTCAGGGTGGCTGAAAAATCGATTTTATTTCGGTTAATTTGCGGAAGATACTCACAGTTGAACGTGCAGCTTCAGGTTGGTTAAGCTTCACCTGGAACTTTCCTCAAACGATTTTTTACCGAAAAACTGAGTGTTGTATGATTTTCGTCCATAACCAAAAGCTTTGCAAATAAATTGAAAAAATAAATTTTGCATTTCGGAATTTTTTGCCATACTTTTTCCAGATATTTCGAACGCATGTTGCATAGAAACAAACATCGTTCAATCGGTAGTTAGTTGCTCATTTAATTGGGCCACCCTGTATATATTCACAGCTTTTTCACTCTCAGTTGTAAAGCAAATATTCAATAACGAACAGGGCGGTTCCAAAGTGGCAACGTTCTTCTGGATGGAGCCCAGAAGAGTTTTTAGATGAAATATTTTCCATTTTCTATAGTTTTCGTCTGTTTTCAAAAATTGTAAAAATGACTATATGACAACATTTTTCGTAACATGCAGATGAAGAATAATCAGGGCGATGATGTTTTCAGGAATTTTCTCTCTTTTTTTCAAAACTCTATTTCTGCCAGTTTTGTTAAAAAAAATTATCACTTTGTGAATTCTTTTGCCCAATTTGGTTGGTGTAATGTTGAAAATTTTATTCCGAATTAAAATTCCGAGAAACACAGAAAATATGGACAAAAGACCATTTGATTTGAAAAATTGCGTCTGTGAAAATTATATTGAAAAATTGCAACGAAACTTCTTAAAAAAATCATCACCCTGTAGCATCTTTTACCCAAATTGGTTGGCGTAATGTTGAAAGTTTTATGGCAAATACATTTTGTCAATTCCGAACTAATTTAGAAAAAAAGGACAGAAAATATATAATATACAGGGCGGTTAAAAAAGGGCAACTTTCATCTGGATGGAGCGCAGAGGATTTTTCAGAGGAATAATTTTCCGATCAAACTTGTCGGGATCGTTCGTCCATAGTTTTCGCATATTTTTGAAAAATTAAGTCAAAAATGCAAAATTTTGGAAAATTAAAAGTTAAATCAGTGCGATGGTGTTTTCAGGATTTTGGTCTTCCTTTTTTCAAAACTCTTGCACTGAGAGTTTAGGAAAAAAACAGACCAAACTTCAAAAAAAAAATTTAATAGCAAAGTTCCAAACTAAATTTTTATAAAAAGACGGAAAGTTTGGACAAAAAACCCTAATGACCAGTTTTGGAAAATTGCTCCTCTAAAAATTCCATTGCGCTGCGAGTCTTAGAGAAAACGAGACCAAACTCTACATCACCCTGCAGAAACGTGAGATAAACTTTTCGAAAGAAGTAAAAAATGGTCAAAAGACCGAGACAAATAATTTCGAAAAGCTATTCCTTCAGAAACTCTTCTGCACTCCATCCAGAGGAATGACTCCCGTTTTGAACCATCCTGTATAATGCTGCATATTTTTTTTAGAACTGAAAATGAAAATTTTGCTAAATATATACAGGGAAGCCCAATTAAACTATAAAACTAGCAACTAACTATCGCTTGAATGGTGTTTGTGAAACACTTAAGCTTTAGAGAGTAAAACGATGTTCAATAATCCGGCAGTTGCTTAAAAATGTCTCTTCAGATAAGCTCCAAAAAAAAGTAATTTGAGCAAACTTCTGGAATCAGTTGGAATATTTTTGCCTCATTTTAACAAACATTTTTTTAAAATTTATTTTCCTGGCTGCCTGACTAATTTTTATAAATTCTATTTAAAATTTTGCATTTTTTCAAAAAATCGACCCGCGCCTTTAGAAAAATTTCATCCAAAAAGCAATATTTCATATGCGTGTTTTTTGAGCTCAATCGATTCTTTTTGACGTAAGAAGCTTACAAATATGCATTTATAAACTGTTTGGGTGAATGATAAGAAACAAATCGTCGCTTAAAGATCGTGAACGGTCAAAAATCGCTTAAAATGTGCCGAAAATGTCTGTTATTTCGGATCTGAATCCTCTACCAGGTTTTTCAATGAGTTCGATGCATTCCTCACATCCGTGAGCCAAAAATGATGTAAAATTTAAGACATTTTGAGAAAATTTTCATTTTTTTAAAAAATCGACCGCCCCCCCTTGAAAAAATTTTGTTCAAAAATAAAAATTTCACATGCGTGTTTTTTTAGCTCAAATGATTCCTTTCGACTTAAGAAGGTCACTAATATGCATTTATAAAGTGTTTGGGTCAATAATAAGAAGGAAATCGTCGGCTAAAGATCGTGAACGCTCAAAAAACACTTAAAATGTGCCGAAAATGTCTATTATTTCCGATCTGAAACTTCTAACATGTTTTTCAATGTGTTTGATGCATTCCTCGTGTCCGTGAGATGAAAATGATGTGAAATTTAAGACATTTTGAAAATATTTTCTTTTTTTCAAAAAATCGAGCTCCACCCTTGAAATAATTTGGATCCAAAATCAAATTTTTACTTGCGTGTTTTTTGAGCTCAATCGATTCCTTTCGACGTAAGAAGGTCACAAATGTGCGTTTATAAACTGTTTGGATTAATAATAAGGAAGACATCGTCGGCTAAAGATCGCGAAAGCTCAAAAAGCGCTTAAATGTGCCGAAAATGTCTATTATTTCGGATCTGAAACTTCTACCATGTTTTTCAATGAGTTTAATGCATTCCTCACATCCGTGAGCCGAACATGATGTAAAATTTCAGACATTTTGAGAAAATTTTAATTTTTTCAAAAAATCGACCTCCACCCTTGGAAAAATTTCGTCCAAAAATCAAAATTTTACATGCGTGTTTTTTGAGCTCAATCGATTCCTTTCGACGTAAGAAGGTCACAAATGTGCGTTTATAAAGTGTTTGGATTAATAATAAGAAAGAAATCGTCGGTTAAAGATCGTGAACGGTCAAAAATCGCTTAAAATGTGCCGAAAATGTCTATTATTTTGGATCTGAAACTTCTACCATGTTTTTCAATGAGTTCGATGCATTCCTCACATCCGTGAGCCGAACATGATGTAAAATTTAAGATATTTTGAGAAAATTTTAATTTTTTCAAAAAATCGACCTCCACCCTTGGAAAAATTTCGTCCAAAAATAAAAATTTTACATGCGTGTTTTTTAAGCTCAATCGATTACTTTCGACGTAAGAAGATCAGAAATATGCGTTTATAAAGTGTTTGGGTTAATAATAAGAAAGAAATCGTCGGTTAAAGATCGTGAACGGTCAAAAATCGCTTAAAATGTGCCGAAAATGTATATTATTTCGGATCTGAAATTTCAACCATGTTTTTCAATGAGTTCGATGCATTCCTCGTGTTCGTGAGCTGAAAATGATGTAAAATTTAAGACATTTTGAGAAAATTTTCATTTTTTCAAAAAATCGACCGCCACCCCTGGAAAAATTTCGTCCAAAAATCAAAATTTCACATGCGTGTTTTTTGAGCTCAATCGATTCCTTTCGACATAAGAAGGTCAGAAATATGAGTTTAAAAAGTGTTTGGGTTAATAATAAGGAAGAAATCGTCGGCTAAAGATCGCGTAAGCTCAAAAAGCTCTTAAATGTGCCGAAAATGTGTATTATTTCGGATCTGAAACTTCTACCGTGTTTTTCAGTGAGTCCGATGCATTCCTCGCGTCTGTGAGTCGAAAATGATGTAAAATTTAAGACATTTTGAGAACATTTTCATTTTTTCAAAAAATCGACCTCCACCCTTGGAAAAATTTCAGCCAAGAATCAAAATTTCACATGCGTGTTTTTTGAGCTCAATCGATTCTTTTCGACGTAAGAAGGTCACTAATATGCATTTATAAAGTGTTTGGGTTAATAATAAGAAATAAATTCGCTAAAGATCGCGAATGCTCAAAAAGCGCTTAAATGTGCCGAAAATGTCTATTATTTCGGATCTGAAACTTCTACCATGTTTTTAGTGAGTTCGATGCATTCATCGCGTCTGAGTTGAAAATGATGTAAAATTATTAATTGCAATTGCAAAATAGTAACAAACAATACCCTAGCTAAGAGATGCGATCTCAGAGTCAAATTCACGTGGCTTTATTGGAAAAAATTGCTGTTTTCCTCAATGCAACAGTGAGTTGTTTCAGGACATTTTCAAAGGCGCTCAGAACCTCTACGACTACGCCACCTTCAAAAGACCCTCACTGTTCGACCCGACCAGCCCCATGCCGCCCGAATCGGAAAGCCAACAGCAAACGGAGACGCCCACCACCCCAGCGATTTCCAACTTTGAAATCGACGACGAATTCAACCTCCCCATCTCCGTAGCTCTTTTCATCCTCGTTTCGTACATTTTCTGCGGCGCCGTCATGTACATGGTGATCGAAAAATGGAACTTCTTCGAAGCCTTTTACTTCGTCTTCATTTCCATGTCCACCATCGGCTTTGGCGACTACGTTCCTCGCGATCCTGTTTTCATGATCGGCTCCATCATCTACCTGGTGTTTGGGCTGGCTTTGATGTCGATGTGCATCAATGTGGTGCAGGCCAAGCTGAGCGACACTTTCAAGCAGGCGTCTTCGAAGATCGGAGCCACCATTGGTCTGGAGGTGGACGAGGAAGGCAGCGTTATCATGGCAGCTCCGGAGAATATCGAAGAAATCACTCCTGTGAGGGTGGAGATTGCCAACGAAGTAGCCGAGGCGAAATGAGTGGGTTCTTGATTGGTCAATAAATATTTTATTATTTAAAATCCTGCGTCCTTTTTTCATCTGGACGGCGAACAGTTTTGAACATCAGACCTCTAACCTCCTAAAATGGCCATCAAAGCCTTACAGTGTCCGATTATGGCGCACGAAATAACACCCAGTTAAACTAATTTATGTCTAGCCTACATGATTCGCTTAACTACCGAAAATTACGAGAAGGAAATGGCTCCATTCTTAGACGAAGTTTATAATGAAATAATCACACACGACTAACTAGGCGAATTGCGACTTCGTTCAGTCCATTCCCGATGGCAGCGTTAGAAGCAAATGAAACTCTCCGTCTTTGAACGGTGCGCTTCCCAAAGGGCCTTCTCGCGTCTCCACAATGGTCCAGTATTGATCGGCCGTCTCAACCCCGATTTGCCAAAAACGTGTCCCGCTTCTTCCTGTGGGAGACCGCGTCGGCTAACGTGCACGTGCAGTTGAACGGGATGGTCGCCGATATGGACGACGAGAAGAAGCACGATGAGGAAATCACTCTTAAGCCGAAAATGACCCTCATCAATGGCATCACGGTGATTGTTGGCAGTATTATCGGTTCGGGAATATTCGTCTCGCCTTCTGGCGTTTTGAAGAACACCGGCAGTGTTAATGTGTCGCTGTTGGTTTGGACCATTTCGGGCGTCTTTTCCATGGTAAGTTCTGTTTGAATGTAACTCGATGTTCGGTATGAAGAAGTCGAAGCTTCTAGAAGGCGTATCTGGCTGTCTTTCAACCTAGTTTCTGGAACTTTGCAGTTCCAGATTTTCTAGCATGGTTTCAACCACCTCCTAAAGCTCTTTCTCCTTCTGGAAAGCTTCCAAGAAAAAGTTCCACACGGTTGAGGCGGAGTCCAGCTTCCAGAATCTTTTTGTTGGAAATTTAGTTTCAAAAACTTAGTCCACAATTTTTTTTAAAATTTTCTTACATTTTCACTCTAATTCCCTGGAAAACATAACTTTCCTAAAACTGAAAACTAACTATCCTCCGCATTCTACACTCTAATCCAAGTCGAAGAAAGTAGAGAAAATGCTCCCAGCAATCTCTTGGATTGGCATGGAAAAGAGAAACTTGCCTAAGTTCTGTTTGAAGAAGAACAAGCTTCTAGAAAGCTTCTCTGGTCTTCTTCGATCTAGTTTCTGGAAATTTCCAGCTCCAGCCCTTTAGCAAAGCTTTGAATGATATTCGAAAGGTTTCTTCTTCTGGAACCTTTCCAAGAAATGGTTCTACATGGTTAAGACGGTTTATGATTTCAAAGTCATTTTGCTGCTTATTTATATTCAAAAAAATTAGTTTTTTCTTATACAGAAGAAAACCAAACCTTCTAAGGTAAAATGGCCAAGCAATAAAAAAAAAGTTCTTTGCATTGCTTCTCTCTAGATTCTTGTAAAATCACACTACACTATGCTTCTAGAAACCTTCTTTGCTCTTATATTCCTTTCCTTTCTAGGAAGAATTTTTTTCTTCCACTCTCCTCTGCACAGGGGCGGATCCAGCTTTAAAGTCAGGGGGGGGGGGGTTATGTAGAAAAAATACAGTCCTCTGTTGTCTATGAAATTAGAAAAAATATCGTCGTTTTGTGCATGTTTCTCGGAGCAAAATGAGCAAGAACGCTCGTTTTTACATCATTCCAAAGAGAACTAAACGGCCTTTTTAGAAAGTGAAGCATCGATAAGGAAATGTTGCAGTTTTCTCAAAAAATGCTTGAATTCAAGAAGTTTTAGATTTGCGTGGATTTTTTTGAGTTGCAAAATCCACTTGAACATAACGTTGCTTTTTTCGAAGTTTCTCAAGAACCATTCGAGCCACAGAATTCGTTTTGCCATCGTTGGATAGAGAATTGAAAAGTCGATTCAGTCGTAACCACGTGAGTGAGGAAATTCGAGTAGTTTTGACCCAGAAAGCGAAATTTGAATATCAGACACTTAGGTGCAAGATTATGCCAAAATTTCATGTTTTCCGTCCAGTTTTTGCTCATCCCCTTGATCCGCCCTTACCTCTGCTACACTGAGAGCAAAAGAAAAATCACCAGCAATTTCTTCGATTAAAAAAATCAACTTGCCTAAGAAGAAGCAGTGAAAAAGAAGAAGCTTCTAGAAAGTTTCTCTGGTCTTCTTTCAATCTAGTTCCTGGAAAATTCCAGCTCCAGCTTTTCTAGCATGGTTTCAACCACATTATAAGGCGCTTCCTCCTTCTGGAAAGCTTCCAAGAGAAAGTTCTAGATGCTTCAGATGAAGTCATTCTTCCAAAACCCTTTTGTTGGGTAATTCGCTTCAAAAACTGTTTTTTTTTCAAAAAATAATGAGAGAGGCAAAAACTTTTGAATCCAAATTGCTAATAAAATTTTCTTGGAATGTCTCTTGCCTTGTTTTACGCTAATCCTAATCGTTCTAGAAATGCTCTGCAACTTCAGTTTCACTCTGATCCTGTCCAACTCCACCTCTCTAGCATTCCTTTTTTCTAGAGACTTTCTCTTGCCTCATTTCACCCTGACCTCCTAGACACCATCACCTCAATCTCCTCTAACAAGGCTCTTTCTTCCTCCCAGGTGGGAGCCTACTGTTACGCCGAATTGGGAACCATGATCCGAAAAAGTGGCGCCGACTACGCCTACATAATGGAAACTTTCGGGCCTTTCATGGCCTTCATCAGACTCTGGATCGAGTGTATGATAGTGAGGCCCTGCTCCCAAGCCATAGTGGCTCTCACTTTCAGCCAATACGTGATGAAACCGCTGTTTGTTGACTGCGACCCGCCCGATAATGCCGCTCGATTGCTGGCCGCTTGCTGTATTTGTAAGTCTAAGTGGGTGTTGATTTGTGTAAAGCTTTCGATACCATCAGCTTGAATGTTTGCCGGCCAGCGATGGCGATTTTATGCGGATGTTTTCGTTTTAGTTGTTTTAACGTTTGTTAACTGTTACGACGTTCGATGGGCCACCAGGGTACAAGATGTGTTCACTTATGCCAAATTGTTGGCTCTTTTTATCATAATAGCGGCTGGGATTTATCAGCTATACCAAGGTAAGTTTTCACTGATTTTCTCACGATTTTCTGAGCAAAAGTTAAGTGAGTTCTTGCTTGCATAAAAAGGGCATTTCAGGAGAAGCGTGCACTAAATTAGAGCCTAAAATTGCAAAACACCCGCTTTTTCGCCTGATTGAGTTCGTTCGTTTTAGGTCATTACTCCAATTTTTCCTTTATCAACACCAAGACTGAAGTGACTTCATTGGCCTTATCATTTTACTCGGGACTTTTTGCCTACAATGGTTGGTAAGTATTTCAATAGAATTTTAACTTCATTTGCTACTTAAATTATTTGCGGTTTCAACTGCAAAATTGGTGATTTAGGGAGACTTATTAAAGTCTTTGAATCCAGCGTTCATTGGGCAATAACTCCCACTAAATTCTCATTTTTGAACACTAATCTACTTGACCAGACAAATTTATTTATTTGCATTTTAAGCGTAAAATCTATTGCTCACAGACAGTGCTATAGAGTATTTCTGCATCAATATTTCGGAACCTTATTTGCTCACCTTATCAGCTACCAAAACCTCCTCACTTTCATCAACTACCAAAACACTCTCCTCACTTCATTGTACATACTTTCCTGACTGTGTTTCAATTCCAAATCAAAATT